GACTACCTGTATAAAAAAAAGCCACCTCTCTAGTTTTTTATTTCTGGGAAAATAAGAAAAAGTGTAGAGAAAGTACTGATTTGAATAGTTAAATGTAAAGTTGCCTTTACCTTCCAGCACTCTGGATCAACAATGCTCATTTTATTTTTTTGTGCAATCATTTTATTAAAAAGACAGGTGAGAAATATAGAGAACAAAATGCAATCTATAAATTAGTGTAAGGTGGAAGCAAGGATGGTTTGCAAGGACAGAAAGAGATGGAGAGATACAGCGAATGGTATTAGTATAAATTACACTTAATTAGATTTCCTTTTCTTTTCTCTTATCTCTGCCTTTAATTTTTTTTCTTCACTGTTTCTTACTCCTTTCCTGTGCTTTGCATAACTTTCCTTACCCTGAAAGAGAATAGTGTGAGGGATATATATATATATATATATATATATATGCATTTAACAGAATTTTATATATATTAAGCTAGTGATATGTTTAGCAACTTTTCCCTTTCCTAATATAGACTTAGGTCCTCTAACTGCAACTTTCCTAGAATTCTGGCTGCAGCTTACTTACAATTCTCAAATAGTACCTGCAGGTCCTTTGTCACTTATATATGTATGAGCACCCAGTACAGTTGACTTGAATACTGCTAATGGAATACGTGACTGGATTTCATTGAAAAAAACTGCATTTGTAGTTATGTGGGGCAATATGAATGTTCTGTCTGTGATGGCTCTTCATAGATGCAGAATTGTTACTGGGACAGTTGCACATGAGGATTTTATTCTGCAGTCAACTTGATTCATTAATAGAATTTTATGGCAAAGAATAACAAGTTATTTATCTCTTTCGATTCCTATCTTGAGTGTGTTTATTTCTGTTTAAATGTGTACAGTGGCACTTAAAAGTTTGTGAACCCATTTCAATTTTCAACATTTCTGCATAAATATGCAGCTTTGCATCAATTTCCTCGATAAATAAATGAACAAGTATATATATTTTTTACTCATTTATTTAATTGGGTTCTCTTTATCTAGTTTTAGGACTTGTGAGAATAGACCATGTTTTTCGTCGTATTTATGCAGAAATATTGAAAATTCAAAAGCACCACTATAACTATATCTGCTCCTGTGAATTCCTACCTATGTGCAAATCATGGATAAATGAGCAATTTTGTGTGTGTGTTCGTTGCAAAAAAATCTCATCACTATAATAATGCAACCCTACCAAATGACAAAACAATCTCAGTTCAAGACTAAGGCAAGTTATTCAGTTTTATGGAGATCAAAAGTTATGTTCCACCTACAGTTCCAGAAAAAGATCATTTGAACATTTCTATAACAACTTGTAACACCATGTGTGTGTGCCTTCAAGTCAGTGTTGACTCCTGGCGACTGCCTGGACAAGTCCCTGCAGTTTTCTT